TTAACTACAACTCATCTGTCAGGTTAGTTTATTTAATACAGCTCAACCCTAAAGCCCTTCCAGGTTCAGCAAGCAATGAAGGTTCACAAAATTCCTTAAAATAAAACCTAAACAACAGAAAACATCTCTTGTCTTTTACAGAATAAATCCTGTTTACCCATACACTCTTTTTGCCTTCTCTACAAATACTAACTCTCTTTAAATGCTGCCATTTTCTGGAGCACCTATCATCATTCAGCTGAATTTTTACAGGAGCAACAGCAGCTATTTTATGTTTATGTCTAAATGAGGAAAATAACATACAAACCTGAAAAGTTCTGGGACTTATACACGGGAATACTGTTTCTTAGTTTTAACTGTGCAGAGAAAGCTGTTTTAACTACCTATTCTCTGCTTTCCACAGAAAATAAATGCCCAGCCTGGGCTCATTTTTCTTCTCTAATGATGGATTCCTTGTGACCCTTAGCCAATTTCCCAGTAAAAGTTCCAGTTGCCACAGGAAAGGGAAGAAAAACAAAATGGTCTACACTGGGAAAAAAAGTATTTGAGGAACACACATTTCTATATAGAACTGTAAATGGAGATGTCAGTAAAGTACCTCAGTGTTATCAAGACAGAAACTCAAGCAGTTTTAGCATGCTCTAAGATCTGCAGGCTGATCTGGGAGACTTCAGTCATGTCACTGCAAGCAGTGGCACAAAGAAACACCGTGTCCTTCACTCACCCTTCCTGCCCTTCATCAGTAAGAGCTAAGTTATTGTTTACTCTTCCTCCTAATCACAGAGCCCTGGACCCTGCTGCACAACACATTCTGCAAGGGCTGCACCTTAACAGAGTCTGTAAGAGCAGTGTAGCAGCAAATGTGCCAGATGGAGTTCAAAGTAATGAAGTTATATTTATCTATACACAAATAGCTGTTCCAGTATATTAGCTCTCAAGTTCTTGTTTAGATTTTGTATAGAGGCAGCAGCAGTTCTACAGAGCACGTGTCACACGTGAATATTTAAGTTAATTGCAATTAGAGTTGGAAGTATTAAAGTAATAACCTCAAACTTGGCACTCTGGTAGATGGTTGCTTTAGAAGCAGTGCTTGTCACCGATTTTAACTCTTCTCATTTCTGCTGCATGACTGGGTCACACTCATACTCCAGAGCTTTATTTCCAGTGCAGAGCTAGCCAGCAGAGGGAGCTTACACCAACACCTCCTCTAACTGCCTTGGCATCTTTGAAATTATCCAACAACACCAGTATACCAACAGGAACAGAAACAAAGATGATTATTTGACTTTCAGGGAGGCTAAAAATAATCAAGAAAGGATGACTCGTAGAGAAGGAAACTCAACTGGCCACACAGTGTGATGAAAAAATTGAACTCAGAGCAATCACCAACACTAGGGAGGGGAAAAAAACCCTCTAGATCTGCTCACAATTTAAAAAAGCCACATGCTTTCAGAGATAGAAGCCCTCCTAAAAAACCTGTGCTGAACTGCTGTCTATGCATTCTACTTCTCAATAGTTTACTTTCTAAGGAAAACAAGTGTGCAGGCCGAGGGATAACACATAGGCAAAGGAATCCCTGCCCTGACAAGGAGACACAAAAGTGTTTATAAAACGTTTCATTAAATGGTTTTAGATAACGTTTTACAGAGTTTATAGTTCAGCTAAACAAATCCCTGCTGAAGAGAAC